AGTCCTCCTTCAGCTAGATCGTGGGCCATATTGAAAATGCTTGTTTTCAATTTGCAGTTATGTCGAGAAACATAGACTGTGTCTAAAATTGAGAATTTAAAAAGCCAGCCTTCTCCTGTCTCATTGCAAATTCGAACCCGCTCCCACAGCACGCTCGACACGCAGCGCAGGAGGCCCGGTCTCCCAAAGGTGCCCGGTTGTGGATCCTGCCCTTGCTCTCGGCGGCAGCGACAATGGGTGTTTCGCATTGCCACTTAGGATTTCACACCAGTCATGATCCGTAGTACCAATCCCACGTGTTGCCACTGTCCCGGCTTTGGGTATGAGAGGTGAGCAGGGTCTAGACTCTTTCCATGTTTTGTTAAAATGCAAAGGCTCTGTCATCCGACTGTTACAGACTGCGCTCTCATCTTAGTTGCACAGATGAAGAGGGGAGTCAAAAAGTTCACGGGAAAATCCATTCTCTTTTCATTCTATTTCTTTCCCCCCAATTTTTGAAGCCCCACAGAGATGTGCACTACTCTGCGTCTCTCTGTATGGAGATGTATATGGAAATGTGTGCCCACACTTGTGTTGTTTAAATGCACACATTCAACCTATCCAAATGCTGGCAGCTCAAGAACATGTCAGAGCTTAGGGTTGGACAGACCCAGGACGCACCCAGCCTGACAGGGAAACGGCGGCGCCGGTTTCCTGCACCTTCTTCCCAACTGGCACATGCTGTCTGACCATTCTCTTTGTGTCTTTCATGCCAACACTCACTGGCAACTAACAGAATGCCCAGCATTTTGCTGAATTGTAAGTATTCCGCATTAGAATGCATTCTTTTACTTAACATTGAGAATCCTCTCCCTCCCCCACCTCTGCTCCCCGCTGCCCCCCAAGTAAATAAAGCTTTTCTAAATCTTTCACAATGTGTCCGGATCCCCTCCTGGGAGGGGAAAGGATGTGAGAGTCATTTGATGAATTGCTGAAGCTTATGCGGGCCCACATTTTTCAATAAACCTTTTTTAAAAAATTGGACTTAAGCTCCCGCTATTTGAATGTTGCTTTTGTAAAGAGAGCAGTGATTTCTATTGGCCGCGTCCTAATCTGTTTGCTTTGTTTCTGTTCTTTTTTTTTTTTCCTTCTCTCTAACTGTTAACCTATTTATAAATCTACATCTACATACAAAGGTCACTGGTTGGCTGAACTTAAACCATTTTATTCAGTAAATTTAATTAAGAAAATACAGTGCAACTCATAAGCAAATGAGTTTTTTCCTAGTTTTAAACCAAACCACCCTCTTGAGTGCTGATTGCCTTGCCCGACCCCTGGTGATACAGAAACAGGCAAAATTAAAAAGGACATTAAAGCTTCATTAAATCTGAAACACATTTAGTACAGTGACATATCTGCAGGCCATTTCAGAGAAGATTACATACTCTCTTTTGTAAGTTTCCTAATTTATAATACCTTGACAATAAAAACTGGGGAAATGCAAGTAGATTAATAGACCACTAGGAGTAAAAGATGCAGAATGGCCCCAGGTTCATCTGTCTCTGAGATGTTCACTTAGAGTGTGTGTGCTCCCTCGTCCCCATAGGGTTCTGTGTTATTTTGACTTTTGACAGCCTCATGAAGGACTGGAACTTCACGCAGCCGTGTCTGCTAAGAGCCCTTTTCCTTTGTACCTTGTCTTAATAGAACTTGATAAAAGGGTTCTAGGGCCTGGCTATATATTTCCTTCTACTTTGCCACAAGACAGATAGTGGCAAAAAGAAAAACTGTGGCTGCCTCAGACTCAGAAGGACTGAGACATCCATTGCAAGCAGCTCCCTCTCCCGGGGCCTTCAAAGGACTGCGTGTGGTGCCAGCTTAGCAGTGCCATTGTCTGTTGTCACTGGTGCCCACCTGGAACCCTGGCCCACTGCTGGAGCAGCACAGTGATGACATCCTGGGAGAGGGAAGTGATTGTCGAGAGTCTGACGACTCAAGGACCAGGGGCTCTTCTCTGCCAGCTAACTCCAAAGAGGTCAGACATGCAAGATGTCTTCGAAGCAGGGTTCCTAGGAGCGTAGTTGACAGGTTGGACTAAGGTTCCAGGGTGTCAGGGAAGTACACAGGAAGCAGTCAGTCCCAGACGGATGGGTTCCCAAGGTCAGGCATCACCATCTGTCCCCAAGCTGGGACAGAGAGGGTCAGAGAGGCCCCCGGCTCAGCGTGCACTGGATTTTCTCTGTTGCCTTCCATGGTGGCTTCTCACAAGAGTCCATGCCTAGCGCAGTTGTGCCAGAGCTGACCAAGGAGCCGAGTGCACTTTCCCAGCTCAGTGGTGGCCTGGGTGGCCTCTCTGTAGAAGCAGGATGATAACTTGGCCGTGGGAGGCTGTGTGTTAATGTGCGGATACTCTTTCACTGTTTCTCTAGATGTTTACTTGCTCAGTACTCAGTTCTTTGTTCTCCAGCCAGTGGTGGCAGTCGCCTTCCAGTTTAGATCTTGATGGTCTGTGTGTGGGCACGTGGCCCTGTGGACAGAATTCATCCATAGTCCCTGGTGACATGTTCAGTTTGGTACCCGAGCAAATGGCACGACCCCTGGAGAAGAGCTTGGGAAAAAGTGCTCGGAATGTATTCTAGTGGCTCTTGTGCTTTCACTGTCTCTCCGGTAGGAAACCCATCTTGTTAGTGGTCTTCTAACTCCAAACACTCGTGATCCACAGATCAGTGTCACAATAGGGTTCGGTGAGCTGACACTGTGGGTCAGGTCAGCACAGACTGGTACAGACCCATTGTGTGAGTCTGGGTAGACTCGAGAAACAAATCCACAGACACACATATGTGTATAAGGGAGAGGTTTATATGCAAGAGCAATTAAACATTGAGAAAACATCCCAGCCCAGTCCAGAACAAGTCCATAAGCCCGACATTAGCCCATATGTCCAATACCAATCTATAAAGTCCTCTTCTGACTCATGAAACACATGCAATGAAGCCAAATGCAGGACGATCACAGGCCAGTGGGTAGAAAGTCTTTGGGTCCAGTGGTGTTGTAAGCATCTCAGCGCTGGCAGGGGTCTCTGTGGCTTCTCTGGCTTCCGAGGTCTTGTCAGTTGCCATGTCTCCCAGGGAGTAGCAGAGAGAGAGGTGTCTTCCGCCTCCAAGGAGGAAGTACCAGATTTCCCAGAATTCTCAGAAGGCCATGCCCACAGAAATCTCATTGGCTATCTCCAGATTCACAGCTTAGGCTCCACCCCTACACTCTTAATCCTTAAATTGACACCAGATTGGGTGACCACCGCACCCATTGTCCATGAATTCCTGCCCTGTTAGGCCACAGCCTTCTTCCTCAGTCAGTCTGTGTGTGCACTCACGTTGGTTCAGACCCACACTGTATTTACAAAATAGAGACTTATATTAAAGAGGAGGCTTGTGAATGGGAGAGCTGACTTCCCCTTTCCTGATTAAGATGATTACAAAGGAAACATGTATAACCTTACAAAACCATGGGGGAAATTTTGTTTGGAAACGCCACCCGACCTAGAGATGATTTTGCTGTTTGTGCCAAAGGGAATTAATGGTATCCACCAAAATGAAGTAACAATAGTATAATTTGTATATTAGTATAACTCTATATATTGAAAATGAATGATCTCTGAGTAAGGACAGTATACAAATGAAGTAATGAAACTTACCGGGCATAACAAAGCATACATATGTATATATACATCCAAATGAGTATTGGCCTTTCAGAGTAGTCACCTTCAAGATTATCTTGAAATTGCTGTTGTTCTAACTGGTTTGGGAACGTTCAAAATTAACCTCACTCAGAACCCTAGCAAGCGGCAAAATCTTTACCTTTGGAGGTGGCTTTGGGTTTGGAGCAATGCCCAAAACCCAGTCTACAGAAAATTCCACTGATCAACAAGCTGAGGAAGTATGATTTTTTAAAGTCTAAAAATAAGATGTAATTTTCATAAAGTAGTCCTTCTCCCTAAAGGATTCCAAGCGCAATTTCGCATCAGGAATGTAAACATGTTTGAGCTGCATCCGTGTCTTTGGAATAAATGTGCAACTTCTCAAGATCTAGAAGGCCATGTGATACGCTGAGAAGATTCGGGATTCGATTACGGAAAGTCTTAGTTAGATTCAGGTCCTAATCTGTGAAATGGATTGATGGCCTCACGGATCCAGACCAGCTTTGTTTCCTGATGCTGTGCCTCCACTTTGAAAGTAGTCACAAGTTCACACAAAGGATTGGGGGGCAGAGTGGGGCCACACGATGCACATGTTTGCCACTGCTTGTCTGTCTGGTGTGCTCATTACCTTTGAGACAGTCGCTTGCTGTCAAGTCATACAATGCTCCGGGTTAAATAATTGCACGTTTTCAGGTGAGAATCCCCAAACCAAAAGACTGCCATGCAAACCCATTGCCGGTTTCAAAGCGTAGCTGATGTCCCGTCTCAGCCGGAGCCCCTCAGGTCCGCCCGCACCCTCTCGCAATGGCCCTCTCCCCACGAGTGCTGGTGGCTCTAACAAAGGGTGAAAACGGTGTCACATTTTTCAACTTTAAACTGTGGCCTCTCCCCAGATCCTGAAACCTCACATATGCATTTGTAATAAAAGTGTTTTTAAAAGCTACAGCGCTACAGGCTAGGAACTGTGTGCCCCAACCGTCTCCCCCAGTTTTACCCCTCCGTCTAGACAGAACTGTCACACACGTGTCAGTGCCAACAATGCCCGTAGAACTGAGAATATTCCTAAGAGAAGTCACATAAGGATGGTTTCTAGTTGATGCGATGAGAGCATTTTCATCAGGGTTGCCATGTTGCCTGTTGCAAAGGTCCATTCTAAATACAGCTCTTCATGTATTGTAATTACAGCAATCAGTCAGTCCAAGCATTGAGTTGTGAGCCTTGTATATGTTCTGGAGAACACTGTGAAGCTTCGTGCTTGTCTGTCTTAAGGAGATCTGCTCTGCATGCAAATCTATAACTAGACAAATATTATTTCCTTTCCCAGCTTGCTCTTGGGAGGTTTCCATATCCTCAGGTAAGATTGTTCATTACTGCCATTTGCCACTGTGACATTCATTCCTATGTATGAAGGTGCAGGGAGCAATTGTGAACACTGGAGCCACAGACAAATAAATCTGTCCTGTTAAATTGAAAAGAGGTATCTTAAAGGAGTCTTTTAGAAGTCTCTATTGATTTTTGATTCTTTTTTAAACTCCAGGCTTTTTTCCCTCTTTGTGAGAAGGCGAGCGCCATCATCACGCCCTTCTTTTGTGCCATGGCGGGAGCGGCTCCTCACCCTGGCCCAGGGCCATGCGCTCCCACAGGCCGGGAGAGGCCGTCCTCTCCTCATATAGTCTGCGAGCTCAGGGATTCAATCGAAAGTATTTGAATTAAAGGATTATGATGGAGTGTGAAGAAGAAAAAATCTAATGGAGGTCCTTCTTTTTGCCAACAAGCAAAGAGGGTCCCCAGATTCATGCAGGTGTGATTTTGAAGAGATCCTTTATTAAAATGTGGCTCATTCCTCTGCACATCTCTAAGCAAATGAACTGTCCATTTTAACAGCATTGCCTGCTATAATCCTGGTTACTTAAGGTGTCCAACCTCATTTCTTTCCGATTGTTGTTGAAGAAGGGTGCTAGCACTTAAAATATAAAGCCGTTTTGTGATTTGACAATGATTTCCTAACCAACTGTCTAGGGGGTGAAAAATGAATGCGGTGCCTGTTCCCTCAGTGTTTTTCTGGCATCCGGGTCTGTACAGGCCAAAGTGCCTGCAGGCAGGTCTGATTTAAAGGTGGTGTTGGTCTCTGCTCTTTAAGCATCTATTAACTTGCTATTATTATGCAAATAACTGTTATATTACACATACTAATTTATGCATGGTTAGATTATGCAGATGCATCACAAACATGGTTATTGAATAATAGGAGGGGGCTCATTCTCTCTACCATCTTCATAAGCTGTTAGAAACAAATTCTCCTGACACCCATATGGAAAGACCCTTCATTCAATGGAAATGTATCTTTTGTATCCTCTCTCTCTTTCTCTCTCTCTTTCAACAGTTAAAGCTGTCAAATAAGTGGGAGAGAAATTGGCCAACTTGTTAGGTTCAAGAGCATTAGGCTCACTTCTCAAGTCTGTAGGCTTCTTTGTTGTAACAGCCTGTAAGAGCTTGGCAGGCACGCGGGCATTTAGTGGGGTTTTAGTGAATCCAGCCTTGCTGCTTAGCTCTAGGTAGCCCATCAAATTAAAATCACATTTTCGGGATTTACAGCTCATTAGAATATTTATCTTAGTGAGCCTCTCACTCTGTCAGTAATTTTTAAACAATTCGCTGTTTAGCCAGTTTATGCCAATGCCTACAAATTTTGAAAACGGGCGGAATAGATCTCCCAACCATTTATCACTTCTCTCTCTAGCAAGTGCTAGTAGAATACTTGGGGGTGAGCTCCTAAAGCCTGCCCGAGAACTTGGCCATGGTGTGGTGCCCCTCTCCAGGGTAATCAATCAGGGAGGTGTGGGTGACGGGTCTAAGAAATGGATTGCCGGTGCAGCAGAGAAATGAAATGTTTGCAGGGTCTGCCACATCTGGGAAGGGGTAGATACCTTTGCAGTGCTGCTTCATGCGTGACCAAGTCTGCATTCACCTGATCCTTGGGCGGGGGGGCATGAGAAGTTGCTCCCTCATTAGCACTAACCTTTACGTGGATAGGGCAGGGTGGTTTTCCTTGCATCTTGATAGAATGTCGTCACCAAATTGGGGTTTTAATTTGAAATCATAAAAGCAGCTTTGATGTCGCCAAAGCTACCCCCAGATCTTTCACCACCAGTGTGCTTTGTCACTAGAATGACCTTAGTGGTCTTGACTTGATATTACAGACTCAGGGCTGGGAAAGGCTGCTTTACAACGTGTTTGCCTGCCCTTTCCCCCACCCTCAAAGAAGAGGCCCTTGAAGAAGAATGTACACTTTGAGACTGAATTTTCAACTGAATTACGAAATAATCTTCTCAGTGGCCCATACCACCTCATTTGAACCCCCCACCACTCAGTGAGGTAGGCCTTCTCACATAACTGGGCAAACAGAATGACAGGCCGCTCACTGCCAAACCACATACAGCTGCGTGGGTGCCAGCAAAAACCCACGTGCGCAGGAGTGACTCCTCGCCTTTCCAGATGGAGGAGCTCTCCGACATCACAGACTCAAACCTACCCCTGACTCCCTCAAAAGTGACCATCCCCACTCAGCGTGAACACCCCAGCTCGCAAGACACACTACTGTCAACGCAGTGGCAGCATTCAGCCAGTGTCCACTCCCTGAGCTTGACGCGCCCGCCCTGTGCTCGAGCACACGGCGCTTCCTGAGTAGCCTCCGGCTCCCATCTCCTTGAGTCCCCTCAGCCGTTGGGGTAGAAGACAGGACCAGGGCATTGTCGGCACTGAACTCAGGTCAAAGTTAGGGCACCAGATCTCCTCAGAAGTTAGTTGAGATGTGTGAGCCATTGGAAAGAGATTCTGGGCCAAGGGGCAAAAGCTTGGAGCTTGAACCCCTCTTTCCCATGGGCTCTCTGGTCACCTCATGCCTCAATTCTCACTTCTTGGCACTTTCATAACCCATAGGACATAAATCGCCCACCTGAAACAGTTTTGGCTTCTCAGTTTTCTTGGGAAGTGGCTTGCCCTGTTGCAGTCCATACAGGCATGAATTGGAAGAAATGGGCCTCACTCCACGAGTCTACCATGAGTCCACCTGGGATGTATGTGTTCCACATAGTTAGATAAAAATTCATATTATCTCAAAAAATTTTCTGCAAGCCTCCTATTATGAAAAGAAAAGGTATCAACAACAACAAGTGAGAGCCGAAATGGATTTGGTCATAGAAGAGTGAACTCCTGATACCTCCTCTCCTACCTGGTAAGAAGAGGTCTGCAGATCAATGAGATCGGGGCTGTGAGAAAAACTTAGAGAAGTACTAAGGGGAGGGAGAGGAAAGAAAGAAAATTCTAAGGGCCACTCTACTGGCTGTAATGTTGGGCTGCAGTACAAATCTGAATTCCTAACTGTCAGCCAAAGGGGCGCTTTTGCAAAAGATTATACTCACCAACCTGCCAGATGAAACTGGAGCAGGCCGTGCAGTGGGCAGGGAGGAGAGGCCAGCGTCAAGGCACGTCCTTACTCGGGCCCAGCGTCAGCCTGGCTGACAGCATCATTAGCAGTGCCTCTTCTTGCGGGTGACACAGGGTGTATCGGGTGGAAGTGCAGACACGTGAGGGGTGTTGGGAAGATATTAGGGAGAGTCAGTGGCCCGGGACCAACATAAAGGTTAAAGGGCTGGGGTTTTGTTGAGATAATCATTCTATATGCATTTCATTGTTTTGTGGGTTAGGTTTATATTTATTTTCTGAAAGCACAATCCTTTGCTTCTGTCCTTTAAGTTCGTAAGGTTGCATAGCCTCCTTCCTGGCACGCAGGTTAGCACCATTGGAGAAAAGGAAAAGGTCAGGCTCTGTAAACCCCCATCTGAATCTTATCTGCAGGCTTCTAAGAGGAAGAACAATGGCGTCCTGGTTTCGCCAGCTCCAGTGTTTTCATTTCTGCCCCAGGCCTTCCTGCGAGAAGTGTGAGTTCTTGGTTCCAGGTGAGAAGGCGGAGGCTCAGAGAGGAGCATCCCCTTGCCTCGGTACAGTTTGGGGACAATTAGGACTAGGACACGCAGGCAACTAGACCAAGTGGCTGCCTCGGCATCTTCTGAACATGGTGGACTCTGCACCAGTGCTCTCCTTCTCGCACAGCCCCACCAGCCTCTCCACCCTGGGGACGCCTCGGGGGTCAGTGAGAGCGCCGAGTGTCTGAAGGTTGCGCCATTGTAGATGCTGACAAGCCCATTCCCCAGAGCCCCACTGCTGTTCTCACCATGCGCTCAGCAGAGTGACGGCCCCAAGGGCCCCAAGAGCGCTCACTGACCTCAGTGCCTTAGGCTCTCGGAAAGGAACTGGAGGGAATGGCCTTTTAAGCACATTTTCCGGGCAGTGCCTCCATTTCTCACACGACGTAGCTTTGTTAGGAACCTGGGACCAGGCACAGGTTTGGGTTAGGACCAGACCTGCGCGTAGTGAATCGTGCAGTCACACTCAGTTGCCTTGAAAACCTGTGATGGTGGGCAATGGCTTGTTCGATGACACCTTCATTTGGGAGGAATGAAAAGGATTACCTCTAAAAATCGCCATCCTTCGTTCAAAGTTCTCAGCAGTGCATAGCATCCGGATGCTAGTTCGTACCATTGAAGACACCGGGGTGGGGGGGTGGGGGGGGGCACAGCTCCAGTATCTGGAATTTTAGTGAGCGAGAAGCCACAGGAAAGTGCAGGCAACACAAGCGCAAATGTATTTAAAGTACTTTTGCATGTATTTAAAAAAAAATGTTTTTCTTCTTTTGGCTACAATTCCTGATCTTGGTTAATAAATTACATCAAAATGACCTGAAGTTAAAAAAAGAAAAAAAGAGGGAAAATCTGAGCAAATAGTGCCCCTGGTATTGTAAAGCTTTGAATGTTTTCACACCCCATTAATTTATTACTTCTCTTTCTTCATCTTTAAATTTCATCTTTTTTTTTCTTTTTTTCAAAAATTCCGACTCCCCACTGCTGCAGTGATTTTCATCTTGTTGTTAATTTTCCCTGCTCCATATGGAGCTCCAGACATTTCACCTGGAGGCGGCACTAGATTTTGCTGTAGCGATCGTACTTCCGGAGGCCAAAACTGTCATTTAGGGTTCCGGGTGCATCTGTCTGCGCCAGGCTTTTCACTGGCATGGGAGAGTGTGAATAACAAATTGGATGCACCTGAGATTCGGATGATTAGTGTGTTTTGTGAATCTCCACGACTTGTAAGCAGCTAGCTGGGGGGTGGGGGTGGGGATGGCTAAACCGCAACTGTGGGTGAATCTGTACTCACACCTTACATTTGGGGCTTTGCAAGGAACGAGCAAACGTCCCAGGCAGTCTGAGTGCAGAGAGAGTAACAAATATTTCATCC